CTATAGAATCTGTTTACCCCCGAGTTAGGGTTTAGTGGGCATACTATAGAATCTGTTTGTTACCCCCCGAGTTAGGGTTAGTGGGCATACTATAGAATCTGTTTTTACCCCCGAGTTAGGGTTAGTGGGCATACTATAGAATCTGTTTACCCCCGAGTTAGGGTTAGTGGGCATACTATAGAATCTGTTTACCCCCGAGTTAGGGTTAGTGGGCATACTATAGAATCTGTTTACCCCCGAGTTAGGGTTTGTGGGCATACTATAGAATCTGTTTACCCCCGAGTTAGGGTTAGTGGGCATACTATAGAATCTGTTTACCCCGAGTTAGGGTTAGTGGGCATACTATAGAATCTGTTACCCCCGAGTTAGGGTTAGTGGGCATACTATAGAATCTGTTTACCCCCGAGTTAGGATTAGTGGGCATACTATAGAATCTGTTTACCCCCGAGTTAGGGTTTGTGGGCATACTATAGAATCTGTTTACCCCCGAGTTAGGGTTAGTGGGCATACTATAGAATCTGTTACCCCCGAGTTAGGGTTAGTGGGCATACTATAGAATCTGTTTACCCCCCCCGAGTTAGGGTTAGTGGGCATACTATAGAAACTGTTTACCCCGAGTTAGGGTTAGTGGGCATACTATAGAATCTGTTTACCCCCGAGTTAGGGTTAGTGGGCATACTATAGAATCTGTTTACCCCCGAGTTAGGGTTAGTGGGCATACTATTAGAATAGGTTACCCCTATAGAGTCTAGGGTTAGTGGGCATACTATAGAATCTGTTTACCCCGAGTTAGGGTTAGTGGGCATACTATAGAATCTGTTTACCCCGAGTTAGGGTTAGTGGGCATACTATAGAATCTGTTTACCCCGAGTTAGGGTTAGTGGGCATACTACTATAGAATCTGTTTACCCCCGAGTTAGGGTTAGTGGGCATACTATAGAATCTGTTTACCCCCGAGTTAGGGTTAGTGGGCATACTATAGAATCTGTTTACCCCCGAGTTAGGGTTAGTGGGCATACTATAGAATCTGTTTACCCCCGAGTTAGGGTTAGTGGGCATACTATAGAATCTGTTTACCCCCGAGTTAGGGTTAGTGGGCATACTATAGAATCTGTTTACCCCCCGAAGGGTAGGGTTAGTGGGCATACTATAGAATCTGTTTACCCCCGAGTTAGGGTTAGTGGGCATACTATAGAATCTGTTTACCCCCGAGTTAGGGTTAGTGGGCATACTATAGAATCTGTTACCCCCGAGTTAGGGTGTTACCCCCGAGTTAGGGTTAGTGGGCATACTATAGAATCTGTTTACCCCCGAGTTAGGGTTTGTGGGCATACTTTAGAATCTGCTACCCCCGAGTTAGGGTTAGTGGGCATACTATGGAATCTGTTACCCCCGAGTTAGGATTAGTGGGCATACTATAGAATCTGTTTACCCCCGTGTTAGGATTAGTGGGCATACTATGGAATGGGTTTACCCCCAAGATGGGGTTAGTGGGCATACTATAGAATCTGTTTACCCCCGAGTTAGGGTTAGTGGGCATACTTTAGAAACTGTTTACCCCCGAGTTAGGGTTTGTGGGCATGCTATAGAATCTGTTACCCCCGAGTTAGGATTAGTGGGCATACTATAGAATCTGTTTTTCCCCGAGTTAGGGTTAGTGGGCATACTATAGAAACGGTTACCCCCGAGTTAGGGTTAGTGGGCATACTATAGAATCTGTTTACCCCCGAGTTAGGGTTTTTTGGCTTGCTATAGAATCTGTTTACCCCCGAGTTAGGGTTAGGTCAAGGTGATTTGTACAACCTGTGTAGTGAATCACATGCCATTTGTCCGGGTGTACGGTTCGTACATGCTGGCAAATCCGCTAACATGGTTTCGTATGCTTTGGCTATTGACCAATCACAATTCGACAAAGGAGAAGGTATGATAAGTGTGGTTTTGGGCCCACAAAATTTCATGATATTCAAAGTTGTACATCATGATAATTTTAGTATCAGAAAAGCTAAATCAAGTGTTGTAATTACCCCCATTGCTTTTTTATGTTTTTAGTGGGTTTTCTTATGTCTGTGAAGACCTCAAAGTTAACCTATTTTACAATATCTTCCAAAAAACCTATATTTTGTTATCTTTAGAGTGATAAAAAAGTGGATATGAGCAAAAGCGTGACCCATCCCAATTTTTTCACCACACATGGAGAGAGTAAATTCGAAGGCACACCTAAAACATTGTGGTGGGTCACGCTATTGCTCATTTCAAAATGTTTGAAAATGTACATTTTTTCTGTTATATGAAATTGCCCCACACATCTCAAAGTAAACATTGGAGTAAAATTATATCTTTGAAAATTATCTTTCCCATTTACACAATTATACTATCAATCATTATTTATTTTGAATGTTTTAGAATACTAAAATGAACTTCTAAAACAAGTTTATTAAATATTTCAATATCATAAGGGTCTCGCAAGGCTGATTGCTTTGAGGTAAACAGAGTTAGATTTTTGGAGAATTGATATATGCTGGAAAAGTATGAAGACATCTTGAAATATAGTCAGGCAGCGTTCTAAAGGTGAGAATCTTTGTAATTATGCTGTTTTTTGTTTCATATTTGTTCTATCATCAGTTTATCAAGCACCCATGAGTCACCTGCCACTGTAAAAATAACATTCAACAGGATTTTCCAAAATATAATGTACGTTGATATATGTTAGTTTATTACATTCCCAAAATGAATATACATGTACTTAAATGTATGAAAAGTTTATTGTTAGAATAAGGACACTGTATCTAGGTCCAGCAGATATGAAGGCTAACAGATGCCCTGTGACACATTGCTGTAAGGTGTAATATATAAGTTTAAATTCAACATTCAGTCTCTGTAGCCTAGTGGTTACAGTGCTCTCCTGACAATTTTGTTCTGTTATCAAAGATTCAGGTTTAAGTCCGAATTTTTTTTTTTAAAGGTTGCTCATCCAATTTACACTGTTTAGCTTAAATTGTACAAGTCGAATCCAATTTTATGATTTTTTATAAGTTTGGTAATCTATTTTACACTGTTCGAACAAACTTAAATTAACATGTAAATCTTTCTACTAAGCCTGAAGACACTGAATTTTCTTAGGGTAGTAATATGAGTGTATATGTTCTGAATGTATATGCCATGGATACGACCAGGCGTCATGAATAGACTCAGCATGGGTGATTCAGGTCCTTAAACTCATAACACATCTGTTTTGTCGTGTATAACGTGAGTGAGTGAGTGAGTTTAGTTTTACGCCGCTTTTAGCAATATTCTAGCAATATCACACCGAGGGACACCGGAAGTGGGCTTTACACATTGTACCTATGTGGGGAATCGAACCCGGGTCTTCGGCGTGCCGAGCGAGCGCTTGAACAAAAAGAATACCCCACCGCTCTTCGTGTATAACGAAATATACCTACAGTTTGTGGAAGTGGATTATAAAAGAAACATCAAGATGAAGCAGCATAAATATTCGGTAAGCACCAGCACAATGGGAGAAGAAGAAACATGTCCTCAAAGTCACGGGACCCGTGAAGATCAGGGTTACAATGGGTCTACAGCAACCCATGCTTGTCGTAAGAGGCGACTAACGGGATCGGGTGGTAAGGCTCGCTGACTTGGTTGACACATGTCATGCTATCCCAATTGCGAGGATCGATGCTTATGCTGTTGTTCACTGGATTGTCTGGTCCACACTCCATTATTTACAGACTGCCGCCATATAGCTGGAATATAGTGCAGCGTAACACTAAACTCACCCACTCACGGAATTGAATTCACGGGAGACCACGCAGCTTCAGTGTCTCATACAATTAATTGTTTGATCAACATTCTCATATAATTAGTTATAGCGCTGAACAGTTGTCACTGTGATGTTTCAGTAAACACAGATCTGGACAAGCAGAAGCTTCTAATTCATCGAACACACACTGTGCTGATGACAGCTGGTGACTTTCTAATCTCTGTTGGAGCACTCATGTTGTTTAGACCAATTAACGAACTGACAATTGTTTGGAATATAGCTTCTGTTCAGACAAGTGTTATCACTTACTCCGACTTCCTAAATCTCAATTCAGTTGGTTTGAATCTCGTACAGTCATCAATGAACTGTACTTCCTTTCAAACTTTAGACTTACTAGTGTAAATATAGCCACTTACTTCAGGCAACTGTTCTAAACTAAATTTTGCAAAATATTCCATACTGTTTAAAGGTACTGTTTACACTTGAACTGATGTATTGAAAAACAGATTCGTAACGTTGAAAAGATTATTGTCATGAGTTCAATAAAAGATTAAAATCAGTGAAAATTGGCTAATTCTTCACAATACTTTACACCATAACGCAGCTGTTCACATGCACGATATTTGCACATGCTTTTCACCAATTTGATGCATGATCCTCGTGCAATTCATCTGCATAAAGTTTGCAGTTGGTTCCCCCATGTTAGTGGAGAAATAAATCCTCGATGTAACCATATATAATCCATTGCGTATAGTGAGTCTAAATTTTTGAAAGGAAGTATATTTGGATTTACACCTCACTTGTAGGCGAGTACTACAAGTAGTGTAATTTATGTCCAATATTATATATTTTCACAAAACATTTCCTTTTTGGAGCCCCTGTCTAAACAATGCGGCTGTTGTCAATATCAACAGCGTGGGCCTGTGCGTTGCCATGACATTGCACGTGAATCTCGCTTAGTAGTCATGCCATGGCTCTGCTCCCATGCATTTCACACGTTGTATTTGGGTAAACCATTTCAGAGAATGATTTTTAGTTTTGTGCTTTGGATGGAATCTTAACTTTGCAATATAACTTGTAGTCTTAACTTTAAGATGCGCATTTCCATAAAAAAAATTCTTATCTTTAACTAGCTACAATTAAGGTTCGAAAAGTTTTCAACTGCAGTTTAATTGACAGTGTTTTAGTGGTAGTGTTTTCGGGTACACTCGTTGAGTCGTGCAAACAAACGCAACAATGCACCTGACTTGGCCACTTGATGACACGTGATCATGAGCGTGCAACGTGTGCTTTCACGGTGGAGATGAGCGACATTGAAGACGCCATTTTGTCAGAACTTCACAGGACATTCAGGAAAGGTACGTGAATATGAATTTGTAATATTGTTCATATCGTTCGACATTATAGCATCTGAATATAAAATGTTTTTGATGCTGGTAAAATGGCTCGCAAATATTGCAATTATCGTTACAATAGTTCAGCTGCGTATGCATGCTTTGAATGTTTTTTTACTTTGTTTCAGGTTACCACAGCTACACGTCTATTCGGGAATAAGGTCGATGAACAACTGGTCATGGAACGAACAGGCCACAGAAGCTCGGCAGCAAGGCTGTGCAAGAGAACTTCTAACGGTCTTCAGAAGGAGATATCGGACATGCTGCAACCACCAGCACCGGACACGAGGCCACGGGTACATCTTCCCCACCATCAAAGAAGATCGCAATCGAGACAGCACATAATCAAGATGCCGCTAACGCCGGAAACGTCATTAATATCAGTTTGTAACAGGTCCAGAATAAATGGCTAAAATGATTCTTGTTATTTTTAGAAGTATAACGGGCGGTGGGGTAGCCTAGTGGTTAAAGCGTTGGCTCGTCACGCCGACCCGGGTTCGATTCCCCACATGGGCACAATGTGTTAAGCCCATTTCTGGTGTCCCCCGCCGTGATATTGCTGGAATATTGCTCAAAGCGGCGTAAAACTAAACTCACTCACTCACTTAGAAGTATAACAAAACTGTAGGTGTATGAAAAAACGGTAGGTGTATCGGCTCATACACCTACAGTTAGAACAAAGGTATCCAATGGCAACGAACCACAAGTGAGGTGCAAGTAATAGTTATTTCCATACTTTCCGAGGTGTGTCGGCCCATACGCCTACAGTTTTGCTCGTGAGGCCCTCCTCGGCTTCGCCCTGTAGGCGTATGGGCCGACACACCTCGGAAAGAATGCAAAAAACTATTACTAACAAATGCTGAGCTTCCTTTTCTATATTTACCAGGGCTCATTTTCAGTCATGTTCACGCATCTAATAAGAATGAGTCGTGTATGGTCGTGATAGCTATCGGAGTTCACATACATGACTAGTTTTGTGGACAACAGCTAATGTTTATTCTTAATCCCTGGAACACGGAAGTCTGGTGGTGATGACACTTGTTCCTAGAATAGCATTCTTTGCCTGATACACCATTTCGCTAACTTCACCAAGATTGGTGGTGGTAAGGGCCCATTACATGGGCACAGTAAGTATACACATGTACAATAATCAAGCATCATGTCTCGTATTAAAATGTAACTGCAACATTCTACTCCGATTAAAACCAAAGCAAATGTGAAATTGAAATTTGGTGACAATTTAGGAGGAACAACGAAAGCCGCAGTATACCACGACTACGCCACCAATAAAGTTGTCACGCAGATCTCAAATAATGATTGTTGTGCTTTCTCTGCACTTGAATATGCGATCCTAATATCATCAATGCCACAAAGTATGGTCACCATATTTAGTAAGAAATGCACCTTCACACCAGCAAGAAGATCATTATCTGAGAAGGCGCTTAAATATATGAACTATATGTTATCAAAAGCTAGAAGTTTTAATTTATGTATCTCCTGCCAATTGAAATACTAGTAATTTGCAATTGATGTTATTTGAAGTATTTTTAAAAATGTTCAAGTAATGTTTTTAAGAAAACTACTTCGTGTAAAGAAAAGTACTCCTCATTATGTTGTATGCTGAGACTGGAAGAAAACCACTTTATACTGATATTCATACACAAATGGTATGTCTTTAGACCAAACTGACTTCAGGCAAATCACCAAAACTAATATATTGTACCATATCTTGGTTATGCCTCTAATCTAGTCCAGTAGAAATTGTATGAAACACGGACATTTAGTATAACAAGCAAATTTTATGACTTAATGAACCCCAAAAGGGTCCTTGTTGACCATGGAAAACACAACCAAAATCAACCTTGGGGAAATTGTCATGTTGGGGCCAAATCCTGAAAAAAGATGAGAAAATCGTTAAATATTTGTTTAGCAAAACAAACGTCAGTTTTTTTGCCAATTGCTTATAACTACATATTTGAAACTCATCCATAATTTACATTGTACATGATGTAAATTTTAGAAAACATCAAACACATGAGCAAAAACATTTAATTTTGTGCTTACCCATAGTGTAACAAGGCTAGTTAACATTCCACCGAGTAATAACTCTGTCTCATCATCAGAAGGGGCGGTGGGGTAGCCTAGTGGTTAAAGCGTTCGCTCGTCACGCCGAAAACACGGCTTCGATTCCCCACATATGTATAATGTGTGAAGCCCATGCCTGGTGTCCCCCACCGTGATGTTGATGGAATATTGCTGAAGGCGGCGTAAAATTCACTCACTCACTCATCAGAATCCAGACTGACTGTTGGAGGAGGATTCAAACCGTTCCCAGAACATTTACAGTGGATGCTGCACAACATTCGTCTCTTCACACAACTGCACGAGTTGCAGGATACCTCCTCTTGTTTACTGCAGGAACACCGGACTTCACGCAGGAGGTCATCAGGAGCAGCTGGTTTGTCTGTCATCGTTGGCACAACAACACCATCGACCGATTTGAATCCAAACCTATCCCTATCCAATACAGTCTGTAGGTGTGTCCATGTAGCTACTTGGCTGTGGACCCTCAAACTGTGAAAGTAGCATGCTCGGCTAGTTGGAGGCATCTTCACCAATAGGACACATTTTGACGAGATGATATTGACGTACCGCACTTCATCAAGAGGTATGAGGTGGACACATATGTCTCTTCAACTGCAGCAATACTTTCTTTAGGTGCGGCGGTGTTTCCGAACACCATTACCTCTCCTTGAAGTTGCTCCGACTGCTGTACAAGTTTGAAGTGTTTGACTTTGCCCATGCCAAAGAATGCTGATGTTGGATCGCAACCTGACATAGCATGGTTGAATGGAAGACATTGGCACATACTGGGACCTAATGATTGTCGCCCTCTCGTGACAGAATATGCGAGTGTTTTTGTCTTCATGAAAATATCCTGATGTATAGCAGTACAGTAGTGGAGGAGTAGTCCAGAACATCTGCGTCATCTGAACACACACAAGTAGGATGATCTAGTGCTGTTGTCAGTGCTTGCTTAACAATCACAACATCTGCATCGCTTTCATCACCAGCATGATGTACGCTGATATTGAAATCATTCAGATGTTCTGCCATCAGGTAGATAAGCGCCTGCTTGTTGTGTCTGTTTGATAGGAAGATGGAACTAGGGTTGTGTGTTCGACTTCGACATCAGCAACTGAAGATCTTTGGAGATGACGACGTTTCTGTTCAGGTTCTTTTGTGGTTATAACTTCATAGCTATCAAAAACCACATGAACTGAAGGACTGTTCCTTGCTCTTGCTGAAACATATTTGACAGAATGATGAGCATATATCTTGAAGCAATTCCACCTTTGGCCAATGCATTTGTTGCAAAAAGGCACATCCATCGATGACAAGTGCAGTATCCATGCCAGGATCAGAGGCTATGATATTGGGATGAAGTTTTGAAATGTTCCTAGCTAGCTGAGACTTCTGCCATCTCCGCATGGTACCATCGTCATGGAATAGTACTGGACACAGTGCAGCCAGCTCATATGAAAACACTGTTGGTTTTGGAGGTCCTGTCAAACACGCAAGTGATAAGAAACGTTGGTAGACTTCTGATGAGGATTTATAGATATCATCATGACCAATTTCCAAGGCTTTTCTCATCACAGCAAATGTCACAGTTTGGTCACATTTTTTCAGGACAACATCACCGAACTCCTGACTGGACATTTTCTCCAGTTTTTTTGCTCCAATCTCCAGTGCTGTGTCTACATTCACAGACTTGTCAGCAAACAGCCCCGTGGCAATATTTCGAAGCTGGTGAGAATCTTTGGAGTGAAAGGGGTTGTGACTTCTCAGATAGTCCTCAAAAGTGTGCATGTCTTGTAGGTCTTGTAGGTCTTGTTTGATGTGGCCTGTATTGACTTCCTTGTGCTGCTCTGACCAGGATCCATTTTGAGTGTTGGTCACGATTCGTAAAGCTTCAGTGTACTGTGTCACAATGTGGGCAGACAACAGCCATTTTGTGCGAGCTGATTCCTGATGTGTAACATTGATGAGTCCTCCTTGAGTCTTGCCAGCTCTCATCAAACATTGTTCAATCACCATGTCACTCCACGTCCCGGTCCAAAACAAGTTCTCATTTCTTCTTATTGTGAAGATACCATTTTCCATCTGTACCTGCAAACAAGGACACCGTTTTTGACAATCCCGCAGATAGAGCCGACAGTACTTGGTGTAGCTGTTGTGCCCTGCTGCTGCGAAAAAAGGCAATATTTGTGAGGAAGTTTTGAGATGGAGCTTCCAGTTCCCAGTCCGTTCTGCTCTGGTGAAATTGCGCACTACTGTGACAAATTTCATGAACTGAATCATTAGTTTGCCAGTTCTTGACAATTGAAGATGCACTTTCTTTGATCTACAAACTGAATACAGTGTTGAATATCTGGATCATCGACATCTTCATATGTCTTCTCATTTTCCAGAACACTAACATGCAAATTTTGAAGTTCTTGAAGTCTTATATTGTTGAAAAACTCACTCCATATTTCATTTGTTATTCCTTGATTGTTAATTTTACTTGATGACTCTTCTGGACTGATAATGATCATGTGAAGAGCAGCATCTGTCAAAAGGCATGCTCTCAGAGCTTTTGTGTAAACCTTCCCTTCCATCATCTTCGGAATACACTTGTTGGCATATACAGTTGCCCACACATCTTCAAGACCACTGTCCTTCATACACTTACATCCAGCTCCTAGAAAAGACAACAGTTGGTGAAATCCACAGGCGTAAAGACAGACGCTTGAATTCTTTAGTATTGTCAACATTTATTTTATACGCCTTTGTAAAGAGAGGTTGGAATCAAATTCATATCGCGTACATGGGAAAGCACAACAGAGGCTTTTTCTTTCTGCGAAAATTGCGATCATTTGATGTAGACACAACTATCTTAAAATGATTCTGCCAAACATTCATCAATAGTAATTTAACTTTCCTCTTACACAGAAAAACAAGCTTGACAAAATCGTAAACATATCCAGCAAAATGTGCGGCCTCAATTCCGAACCTCTACCTTTTCAGTATGAGTCAAAAGTTAAAAAGAAGGCTCTGGCCATTAAATCAGATCCATCACACTTTTTAAATGAACGTTATGAATTTTCTGCCTTCTGGCCGCCGTTCAAAATCATGTATTACAAAACTAATAGAACTTCAAATTCATTTGTCCCATACAGCATAAAACCTCTAAATCTTCCTCTAAAATTGTAATAGTGAAATCAATGATGTGGCACGAGTGATTATTATATTATGTACATTGATTAGGATTCATCATTATATTGTGATTAGCTTGATATTGTGTGTATATATACTTTAAATTATTTGTTGTTATATGCTCTTTGAATGCAAGACAATTTTCCTTGCGGTACA